TTATTTGCATCTCCTTAATGGCCAGTGATCTTTCCATATGTTTGTGCTAGTCTGTTCGGGCTTCTATCACAAAATACTGTACACTTTGCAATTTTTAAGTAATACAAATTTATTTCTCATAATTCTGGAGCCCAGAAAGTCCGATGTAAAGGCCCCTGCAGATCTGATGAGGGCCTATTTCTTGGTTAATAGATAATACATTCTTGTTGCATTCTCATGTGGTAGAGGGGAAGCTGGCTTTCTGGGGGTCCCTTTTATAAGGGCACTAATCCCATTAAAGAAGTCTCTGACTCATGACTTCATCTCCTCTCAAAATGCTTTACCTCCTACCATCATCTTAGTGGTTATGATTTCAACACGTAAATTTTTGGAAAAAATCTAGTTGATTGCAATACTTTTCTTCATCATTTGTATATATTCATTGGAGAAATATTTATTTGTGTCTTTTGTTCATTTTTTAATCGAGTTACCTGCTTTTTCTTGTTGAGTTGTAGGATTTCCTTATGTGTTCTGGGTATTACCCCCTTATTAAATATATGATTTGAAAATCTTTTCTTCCATTCTGAAGGATGCCTTTTAACTCTTGATTATGTTCTTAAAACATAGAATTTTTTTATTTTGATGTAGTCCAATTGTAGTCCAATTTATTTACTTTTACTTTTTTTTTTTAAGACAGAGTCTCACTATGTCACCCTTGGTAGAATGCCATGGCATCACAGATCACAGCAACCTCCAACTCTTGGGCTTAAGTGATTTTCTTGCCTCAGCCTCCCAAGTAACTAAGACTACAGGTGCCTGCCACAATGCCTGGCTATTTCTTGTTGCAGTTGTCATTTTTGTTTCTGCTGGCCCGGGCTGGGTTCGAACCTGCCTATCTTGGTATATGTGGCTGGTGCTGTAACCACTGTGCTACAGGTGCGGAGCCATATTTATTTTTATTTTAATTACCTGTGCTTTTGATGTCATATCCAAGAATTCAGTACTAAGTCCATGGGCATGAAGCTTTCCCTTTAGGTTTCTTCTGGGAGTTTTATAGTTTCAGGTTTTAGGTTTAGAGTTTTAACTCACTTTGTGTTAATTTTTATATGTTGTGTAAAGTAGGGGTCCAATTAGCTTCTTTCAAATGTGAGTATCCAATTTTCTCAAGATCCTTGAGAAACTGCCTTAGTCTGTTTTCTTTTACTTATAATAGAATACCTGCAACTGGGTAAATTTATAAAGAAAAGAAGCTTATTTCTTACAGTTATAGAGGCAGAGAAGTGCAAGCTTGAGGCACTGCATCTGGCAAGAGCCTTGTTGCTGCTAGGAACCGTTTGCAAAGTCTGGAGGTGATCAGGGCATCACATGATAAGGGGGCTTCTTACTATTCTTATAAAGGCACTAGTCCCACTCTGAGACTATGAATCCATTAATCCATGAACAAATTTTGTTGAATGATTTTTTTTTGCATCAAGTAAGATGAGTGCATGTTTTTTCCCTTATTTTTGTTAATGTGGTATTAATGTCATTTTTTATACATTGAAATATTCTTGCATTACAGAAATAAGTCCCACTTGGTCATGGTATTATGATTATGATGAACTTTAAAATGTAATAAAAATGTGTAGATCAGGTAAACTACTAAAAGTTGTTAATTTCTACAATATACATTTCTGGAAAGAAGACTAATTAATTTGTTGTTGGAACTCCTGTACTGATTTCAGAACTTTGAACATTTTAATTATTTAATGATATAGAGTTTAATTGAATCATGAAAAATAATGAATAATAAAATTTATTTGGTTTATGAAAACACTGATAATTTCCAATACCATTCTTGTAAAAACAGGTTGACTTTATACCAGTGTCACATAAATATCATCAAGTGATTTCAAGTCCAGATTTCTGAATGAAGAAGAAATGATATCATAACTACTTACAGTTCACACCATGTATGCTCTTACTTTGAGAGGGCAGAAAAGGGGGAGGATTGATGGTTTTGGGGGAAACAAGGAAACTACCTCCAAGACGAAAGTGTGATCTTACTTGTTATTGAGCTATGTGAATCACATATTTTGTCTATAATTTATATATGTGGTATATATATGGCATTACCCTAGTTATTTCTATCATGTCAACATAGAGGGAAAATTAAACATGACATCATACTTAGAATTTAATATAGTGGTAGACAAAGACGAAAAAGTATGCTGCTAATACTATAATTGCAGTTAATCCACAAAGCCATGTGAGCCTTAAAGAAATTAGAATTCTAGTTATTTTAATGATAAACTAAGTAGACATTATTGACATTCAGTACAGTGGAAATATTAAGCACTGTCTATTATGATTGTAGCAAATATGGCCATAATGAAGGAACATGGCTTGGTCATTTATGAACACCTTCCAACAGAAAGAGAAAATCTGAGAAAGTGCTTTACTAAAAATTATTTCTTAGTAATTGTACTAGTCCTAGAGCTGAGGTGAACTCAGTAATCAAGATATAGTGCAGTATCAAAGAGCTAATTTGCTGAAGATGGATCTCAAAGAGTAAAAGATTTAAAGAGTAAAATTAGTCAGGCACAGAGTTACACATTTGTATTCACACCTACTCTGAAGGATTGCATAAGCCCAAGCAATCTAGTCTAGCCTTAGTAGCACAGCAAGACCACCATTTTGAAAGCCAATTAGTAAACAAATAATAAATAGTAGAAATCTAGAGGACTGAGGCAGCCTAATTTCCTATGTAGAAGAAGAAGGGAAACGCAGAGTTCATAATTGGAGTTGTAAGTTAATGCTTCACTTGATAATATTCAATATTTATCGAACTATGAGTTTAGGCCATAGATGGTTCTCTTTTGTCTGATAAAAATCAGTTTGGTAGAACCTATGAAAGTACTTTGGGAAAATGGACTTTAATGCAAAAATAAAAAGAAAGATTCAAATTGATGACATTTCCAAAATCATATATTTTTATTGGATATGTTATCCCTCAATGGTGCAAAAATTGGTCATGTGGTGGAAGCAATTCTTAGATATCATTATAGTTTGTGGCCCTACAAATATTAACCCTATTCAACATAATTTTATACCCCAATATTCATTTTGCTCATTGAGTTTTCTCATGCATTACATAAAAATAATTGACATTGAGTTAACGGAAGATAGACAAAATAAATGCAAGATCAGTGCTATAAACTTGTGATGAATAGATAGCTCACTGGAGGACTTTCACTCTGTCATTTGCTTGAAATTGAAGTCACATTGTGAGGGTGGCTTTTGCTCACTTCAGGGCTACCACTGTCTGTCTTCTCAATGATCTTTAAGGTCACAAAGTTTGGGGCCCTCCAAAGCTCAGTGCTACCAGTGAAAACAGTATTCTGTAATTATTGATTTTCACTGAATTTTCTTATAGATCACATAAGGAACACTGACATTGGGTTCATGGAAAATAACAAAATATGTATCTAAGGTCAGTACAACAAACCTATGCTGGATGGAAGTCTGTGATTTCAGAGTCAAATCAGGAGAGGTGGCCTCTGTATACATATGTGCCATCATTAGCTTCTTCTGGATGTTGTTGCTTGATGGTTAGTACTTCAATATGTGTTGTGGACTTTGTGAATTAAATACAAATACTTGAAATACTCAACACATCAATAGATATGTCAAAAAATGAAGAGAAGAAAAGAAAGTCATGGATAATTATCTCCAAGCTAGAGAAATTAAAATGTTTCTTATGAAGCAAAATTAAAAGTTAAGTACCTTAAAAGTAAATGTTAAAGAAATAATTTCACATTTATTTATTTTTTTGAGTCATTCGTTGATTTTTTATTTTTTTGATTTTGTGATTAAATCATAACAGTGTACATTGATGCATTTATGGGGTTCAGTGTACTGATTTGATATACAATGTGAAATGCTTACATTGAACTGATTAACACATCCCTCACAACTATATAATTTTCTTAATAGTTCTGAAATGTTCCATCGTATGATGCACATTAGGTGAGGTCCCCTCAAATACCACCCCTCTTCCCTCCTTCCTCCTACTGGCTCTGCCCTCCCTTCCCCTCACTCTCCTCTACCCTTTTACTTTCTAGACTATAGTTATGTTTTACCATACATATGAATGTCTAGGCAATTATATATTGATCATAGTAGTATTGAGTACATTGGATATTTTGTCTCCATTCTTGAGATACCTTACTAAGAAGAATATGTTCCAGTGCCATCCAGGTAAACATAGAAAATGTAAAGTCTCCATCTTTTATGTGGCTGCATAGTATTCCATGGTGCAAACATTCCACAATTTGTTAATACAGTCAAAGTTCTATGGGCACTTGGGCTGTCTACCTATGTTGGCAATTATGAATTGGGCTGCAATAAACATTCTGGTACAAATGCATTTGATGTAAACTGATTTTTCATCATCTGGGTATATACCTAGTAGATGAATTTCAGGATCAATGTAGGTCTAATTTTAGTTCCCTGAGTATACTCCAAACTACTTTCCAAAAAAGATTAGGTCACTAACTAAACTTAGTCATGAAGTTAAGTTGAAAGTCAGTACTTGGTAAACAGAACTGTGGCATTTTAACTTATAATTTTCATTTGTAGTACATTTTCAACCCTGCATTTAATACAGAGATTCAACATTGCCATTCATTGTATAAAAAGTGGAGAAATACATAGACTACATATAGAGAGATGTAGTTGACCTGTATGTAGTTTACAGAACTTCAATTAAAAATAATCTTAAAAGGCTCACTGGTCAAGGAGTACAGAGACAATAATGAAAAAGGACATGAAAATAATTTGGGTGAGAAAATGCTCTAAAGCCATGTAGAGAGTGCATAAAGAAAGCAAAAACAGGAGGAGAAAGTAATGTGGGGACATCCAGAAAGCAGAAGCTAGTTATGTTCCCTATTTAAGATCAAGGCCCAAAGCACCATCTTCAGAGAACCTGGACCAAGGCTCAGAGTCAGCCACCTCCCCCTAGTCCAGCAGCATCTTCAACAATGGCCTTGCCCTTCTCTGTCCTCATGGCCCTGGTGGTACTCAGCAGCACGCCCATCTGCTCTCTGGGCTGTGATCTGCCTCAGTCCCACAGCTTGGGCAACAGGAAGGCCTTGATTCCCCTGGCTCATATGAGGAGAATCTCTCCTTTCTCCTGCCTCAAGGACAGGAGCGACTTCAGATTTCCCCGGGAGGAGTTGCGTGGCAAGCAGCTCCAGAAGGCTCAAGCCATCTCTGTCCTCCATGAGATGACCCAGCAGACCTTCAACCTCTTCAGCACAAATGACTCATCTGAGGCTTGGAATAAGACCCTCCTGGACCAGTTCCGCACTGGCCTCTATCAGCAGCTGAATGAGCTGGAAGCCTGTCTGATGCCAGACGAGGGAGTGGAAGACACCGCCCCCATGAACGAGGAGGACCCCGTGCTGGCCCTGAGGAGCTACTTCCAGAGAATCACTCTCTACCTGAAAGAGAAGAAATACAGCCCTTGTGCCTGGGAGGTGGTCAGAGCAGAAATCCTGAGAACATTTTCTTCAACAACAAGCTTGCAAGAAAGATTAAGGAGAGAGGAATGAGACTGGTCCAACATGGCAACCATTCCCTTGACACCGTCACTATCTCGCACTTTCATGAGTTCTGCCATTTCAACACTCTCAATTTTGTTATAACCAAACATTATTGAATCAAATGTTTCAAGTATTTTCCAGAATGTCAGGCAATGTGGTCTTCATTTTTACAGGTAGTAGCCACTTACACATGACCTTGATGATGGATCTATTTATTATTCTTTTAAATGTCTATATATTCAACTATTTATAAGATTTAAGTTATTTTTGTTCAGAAAATATTGTGCAAATTTATGATGTTAATATACTAAAATGTGTTCTTTGCATTTATCCAATTTATTAATTTGCTTTGTTCATTAAATATTTACGAAGGACAACTTTTTGTATTTGTTTATTCTTTTAAAATGGAACTCCAAGCTTGATTACGAAACATGATTAAGGAATACATGTACAATTCTTTCACCAATCATTGTTATATTCAGGATATAAGTAAAAATTAGCCTAATGTCAGCTACTGCTGTCTGATTCATTCTGGATATAAAGGTGAACATAAAAAATACAGTTCGTGCTCTATTGAACCTTTGATTCTTGTAGGGAAAGAAACCTAAAAACAATAAGCATAGCCAATGCACGTCAATTCAGTTAAAAGTTACAATGAAAAGAATGACATAATGGTGTAGTCCTCTCAGAAGAAGGTAGACTAAGGTATGTCAGGAAATATGAAATAAAAGCAGTGATATTCTTTATAAATTAACAGTTAAATATCTAAGTGAAATCTTTTACCACTTGGTGATGCATGAGTTTGCCTTTTCCAAGGAATTCAATGCCTGGAACTTCATAACTGGCAACTGAAAGGACAAATATGAAGGTGGTCGTGTGGGGAGAGATAGTAGAGAGTGAAACAGACTCAAGCTTGATTCTGAAGACCTTCCACTCCTAGTGGGAAGGAGAGAGAAGCTGCTATGGAAACAGAGGTGGTATACCTTATATTAGAAGGACAGGGAGAATGGCAATAACAAGGTTTTTGAGGAAATAAATGTGCTTAGGAGAAGAATCCATGGACTTATGGAAATGTGGATTGAAGCTGTCCACTCTATCAGGAAAACACACAGCACCGTGAGAGGTGTTTTGGGGCAAGTAATTAGTGGAAACCATACTGGAGCAGGTGGAAAAGTGAAATGAGAAGCGAGAAATCAGTGCCAGGTTTACAGAAAACATTACAGTTATGGGAGGATTGCTGTTGAAATGGATGGGAGAAATCGGGTTGACACTGGGAAAGAATGAGGGTGATTTTGTATCTGCACAGTTTTTCATTCTATAAAGTACATATATCTCTGGATGATTCTGTGGTTTTGATAATTTGGCAAACTGTATCCATATTTTTAACATATCTTATTAATGTCAATGATAACATAACAAATTGTTCCCATTTACACTGGATCATCAGTTTTGCAATATGTTGACTCTCACGGAAATGGACAAACTTCCTTCATAAAATTAAACTGGGAAACTGGATCAGACAATCTCTTTCTCATTAGTAAGGCAAAGAAGGAAAACTTTGGGCAAAACCACCTGAAACTACTAGTGAACCAAAGAAATGCAGACAAGGAAAGAAAGAGTAGCCTACAATCTAGAAGTAAAGAGAGATCAGGTGGTTCTTGCAGAAATTCACATCAGCCTTACAGTATCATATGGATTACAACTAACAACAAAGAGTTGGACCTTTCAATTGTATTCTGCTTGCATAAGCAGATGAGGTTTAGAAACCCACTGAATCCCTCTGACACCTGGTTTTCTCATAAAAAATAAATGTGTTCTCTCTATTGTATATTTGTGAATCTTCAATGAACACATGGATTTCAAAGCACTTAACACAGCATTCTGCATTGAGTAAGGAGTTATTAACAAGGTCTAGTAGGTGTTGCCCTATATTTCTCCATAGTGCTGTGTATGGGAACATTACTTGTCTTTTTATAAAGGTCATAGAAACTGTGTGTCCTCCCATTCAGGTAACTAAGTTCCAAAGAAGGCAGCGTCGAAAAATAAATTTTGTAACAAATAGTAGAGAGGCTCCCAAATTGTCACTCCCCTTTCTAAACATGTGTCCTCTCTATACTCAGATATTCATGGCTTGTATGTATGCCTGTAAGAGGAGACTAAACATCTAGACAGAAATTCAGAAGACATTTAGTATCTATTTACTGAGTCTAGCACCTGGCACGAGCCCACCCTCCTCCTCAATCAGCATTCCACAATACACCTTCCTGGCATGGGGATTTCCTGCCTCACCAAGAAATCACTCCCTTCACCTTCCTGACCTTGCATACACAGCTGCTTTCTGTTCTGCTGTCATTCGATCTTCGTGGTTTCCCTAAACAGCAGCATACCACAAGTACAAAGCAGAGATTACAGAGAACACCCATACTCTGCAGTGACATCTGCAACCCAGGCGTTCCAGGATTTCCACTGCCTATGACATCATGGTACCAGTAGCTAAAAGGAAAGAGAAAACAGGGTCTAGTAGCCTGTGTGTGGGCTCTTGTAGACTCCCAGGGGAAGACCGTCCCCTGGTGGCCAGAGGTGACCAGGGTTGCCACTAAACCAGACGTGAAGGCTGGTTTTAGATCTATTCGGAAAGCTCAGCACTTCATGGGGATTTCTCTCCCTGCTGCAAAAAGCCTGCACCTCAGCAAGAACAGATGCTATGTGTCATGGGCCTGTTTCTTACCCCCGCACTATGACAAAGAATGAGCGTGTGGCTTGGGACACGACATGGCATCCTTGGGATTGGAGTCTAGGCAGATAGTGATGTGTAGTCGCTGCCTACAGTGGGCTGTGTAGACCAGGTGCCCACCCGAGCCTCACACCCTTCCCCTACTGAAGGTTCCAGCGGACAGGCAGAGCTGCCATTCTGGGCATGAAACTCAATACTATGCAGGAAAAGCTCTTGATTTAGAGTGCATAGTCTCCTATGTGAAGTATTTTGTCCCCTTGCACATTGCCCTCCAAGGCTGAAGTCAGAAAACACTTGTCCTAATATTGTTTACATGATTTGTCCACTTTTGATCATAATGCTTTTTTTTTCTCTTGAGATGTTTCTTTTGTCTCTTGAGTCCGTCCATTGCTTCCTCTGCAGTGCAGAAAGGATTTTTAGTTCAATGGAATTCCACTGATGTAATTTTACTTTGGGGTGAGGCTCCCAAATCATCACTCAGATGTTACTCATCAACTCTCCTCCCAGACCAATGTCTGGAGGAGTTAGTTCCCTGAATGTTTTCTTCTAGTAGGTTTGTTGTTTCTTGTTCATGGTAATTATCTCTGTTCACTTTTTTTATTTTTTAGGAGAGTGCAGTGGGGGTCCAGTT